TTACGCTGGTCTTCTGTGAGGTCGTGGTACTTACCCGGACGGGCCTGCACATGCGTGCAACAGACGACGCTGACCACCGTAATTATCTCATTATAATCTTGTTAATAAAAACCACTAAAAATTAAAAATAAAATTTAAATAATTTTAAACTGAATTAAATATAATAATTAATTAAATATAATAATAAATAATTTTAAACTGATAAGAAAAATATCATTACATACGTTGCACCTACGTTGCAGCCTTTAACGATAATTAACCATATTCGTCAAAGTCTGATTGCAAAAGAAAATTAATGAAGGTGTATTAATGCTAAATGTTCTTTAATGTTCCATCGCATGTGGATCAAATTTGTAAAAACAATTTGTAAGGTTTGATGAGAAACATCGGGACGAGTGAAACAAATGACAAATTAGATATTCCGCCCCAGAACTTGGCCACTTCGACTGCACAGTTCGTGGCGTCCATCAAATCCTGCTGCGAACAGGTGGAAGGGCAGGCAGGACCGGACACCAGATGAGCCATGGACTGCACCGCTCCACACACACAATCTAGGTCTTGGCTCCCCGAGAGTCCCCACCTAAACATATTTTCTTTGCTCCGACCAACCTGAGTCCGAAGTCTATTTAAAGACTTCCAGATTGGCCATGTGCAATCTGTGCCCAAGCGGAAGACTCTCGGAAAGCGGGACAAAGGTGTCCGGAATCAGGGTTCAGCACGCCACAATCTACATCTCGCTCGAGACTGGACTTAATAAAAGCTTGCGAAAACGAAGGAAGAAGATAAAATATTTTGGATGAGATCACTAAAAAAGCAGTTCAGGAACTTTCAGAATATGATATACATGAACTTAGTACACCTTCGACTAATTAGAGAATGTATCGTATCTGTGTAAACATCGTCCGCTGACGATCCTAGCGAGTACACAGAAAATTACTTTATTCACAATTAAATCTGAACTATGAGACATGAAATAAATATTAAACATAATTTAGCCAATGTAATTTGATCACGAAATATTACTGCAATTCAATAAAAAGGTATTAAACATCAATAATAATGTAGTTCTGGTTTAGTAAAATGAGCTATATAGTAGTAGAATTATAGTTAAGGATTCCCGATATAAGGCCATAACGTAAAAATGAACGAATTTCACCTGTTCACAAAGGTACAGTGCAATGTCAACTGCCTCCCGGGAAATCAGTATAGTGAATCCGATTACGACATGCTGTTTTAGATGTAACGTACATACAATTACATACATTTGAGTCTCCCGTACCGCAGAACGTATAATTGCTGCATTTCGATTATGCGCCCTCGCCTGCGTCAATCATGGTGGCATTGCCAATGAAAGTATTTTTTTTTATATTAGGAAGTGGCAAGCCACCAGGTGGTTCCCCTGATCATCACTACACTGTGTACTACATTGTGACTGTCGCTGCCCGCCTACCTTTGCATCATCCGCAGGATTGCAGATGCGTTGCCACCTTACTCACTGAACGAAACGCAGATGTGTCTTCGTCTTCACGCCGGTCTCCCGTGAGGTCATGCTACTTATCTGGACGGGGCGGACCCCTGCGCTCAAAGAAGTCTGTTTGCGTGGCCCTATCGCAGAAAAAAAAGTATTCTAAATTAACTCCTGAATCTCATCTTTTATACCTTCTTGCTAGCAGTGCCATCCAGCGGCCAGCTTTGTCTTCGTTCCTCAACGTCAATTGTTCATCATCCGAACCTAAACAGCTAGTGTGAGCGAGTATCCAATCGTTGGCTTAGGGCGGCACCGAAATACTAATAAAAAGCCATACAAGTCCCAAATTATCGTTGCCGTTTCGCAAGAGTAAGTATATAAAAACGTGAATTTCGCTTTTCCCGGTAATAACTTCTAATCTTTCAGAGATTTCATTAATGAAGCCACGTAAAAATTTCTCTATTCAACCCAAACAGGGCTGAATCCCGCTAAACACATGGCTACGCAACTTTTTTTTTACCGAGAACTTGACGAAATTAAGTATTTTTGTTTATTAAAGTCGGTCTGCTGAAGTTTCTTGAGGGTTCACCGTACGATTTGAACGCAATTGCCAGGGCAGGATTTAGAGAGTCTGAAGGCGTCGGGGCAACAGAGGAGTGGAGGCCCCTTGGCCCCAAATTATTTTCCGTTGATTTCTGTTAATATTTAATGTAATCATGTTTGTACAAAGTTAAACGCGAAGAAAAATATGAAAGGAAAAGTTGTATTTATAGTGTTTACTTGTCGGAATTTGTAATTTTTTTTCCGAAGTCTGTATTGTGGGCTCCCCCGGGCTGTAGCTCCGATTGCCCTCCCCTAAATCCGGCCCTTATTGTCAATTGCTCACTGAATGTTAATCAATCAAGCCGCATTTATTTATCAGATTTATCTAATCAATATACAAAAGCATAAAAATTATATAAATTATACCATTATACTATTGTTATTCTCAGTTTTTTTATTTCCAACGGAATGTCTAGACTCAGATTAATCTTTCCACTGTTCACTTGTCAAATCTGGCCTTTGCCGCGATACCTGCCTTTACGTTTATCACTTGTGACTAACGTAAATGCAACACACAAACAAGCAACGATTGGCATCAGGTACTTTTAAGTTTACTGTTTACTATTAAAACTATAATTAACAATGTTGAAGAAATATTCAATATATCCTGTTAAATATGATATGAATAATATGATTTAGAGCCCCAAACTAAGCAAAGCTTGTACTATGGATACAGGGTAACTGAAACACACTTTTCTTTTGTAAATCCTTACTAATATTATAAAGGCAAAAGTTTGTATGTATGGGGATATTTACTCTTTCACGCAAGTACTACTGAATGGATTTTAATGTAATTCCTCAATTAGTAATAATATATATTATATTATTACTAATTGAGGAATGAACACATGCGCGTGCGCCATTTTTTTTTCGCTTTTTTTTTCCTTTTGTCATAATTAGCTTTTTATTTTATGCTTATTGGCAGAAAAGTGTATGTTAATTAGGGGAAAGGATTGGCTCCTGAAATACAGGATATCCTAGTTTGGGAGCCAAGGCGCCATTAAATGTGTAACTAAGTGTTCAATAAATCACATTTATTATTATTATTATTATATATCTATAGGCTATATCAGAATAACACATAGGCTATAATTAATATACATATTTTTAATGTATATCTGTTTTTCTGTCTGAATGTTACGCCTTTAGCCTATTCTACGAACACGTAGTCGCAAGCACCAGCTAGTAACAATATAAAAGAATCAGGAAGAAGTATATATGTGGTCGAGTGGTTTTTTTTAATTATTACGGAATAATGGTAACTCGACTTTTGTTTTTTTTAACATCTGTGGCACATATTTTGGTGTAATACATTACAGTCCATCCAATATCATTTTAATAAGGATATGCAAATAATTTGCGAAGCATTTAACATTTCAATACACTTTTTTTCCTACTATGGCTTCTGGACTTTGCCAATAACTTAGTACTTGAAGATCGACTAGGCTGAGGACATGACAATAATGAACTACTGTAATTAACCTCTTTCATTTGCGTACCTGTAAAGAGAGGAACAAAACACCACATTAGTAACACACGGTCATTAGTAATGAAACGTCAACTATACACAAATAAAAAGAGAGAAAAAAACACGACTAAAAATGGGTTAATTTCTACAAACATAACAGGAGTTTTTATGAATGGGCTATGTCCCTTAACAGTAACAAGAGTAAGCAAACAACTAATATTTTCAATATGCACACTTTATTATATCGATCAATTTGAGTGTCGTATCGTTCCCAATTCAAAACTACCCGCGCAAGCAATAGTAAAATGCACAGAATTTTTTCATAAAGTCAAGAAGTCTTTCAAAGCTGCCCTCGTTTTTTTTCTCTCATTTCAAGGATCAAAGTAGACGCTTGGAATTCTGTACAGTGAAGTATTAATTGTCCATATAACACTTATTTCCATTGTTATGGGAATCCACCTAGCCCGATTGCTGACACAAGTAAGTGTTAATATAAAAGGTGATTGCTACTAAAACGTTATTATTTATAAATTAAGATTGTATATGTTCAAATATTTTAAGGTTAGGTTTGTAAGGTGTGTTATATATTAAAGAAAACCGGTGACAAACACGACGTTAGTAATTCCAAGATTTGATTCTTTTCCTTTTTGTTAAATCTAAACGCTGGAGACATTTTTAGGCCGTAGTTGTTTCAATGACGATTCTCTATAAAAAAAATATTTGTACAAAAAACGCGCGTGAATAAGAAATGAAAGGGAATAATAATAATGAATAAGAGATATTTGAAAATGTAAGAATTCACTCCGTATAAAATAATTAAATACACTAAACGTTCATTATTATTGTCGAATTATGTCATTTAATTGTATTTACCGTATTAGGATTGTACACATTATGTTTATTTCGTTTCGCTGACTTAATTATCGCTTAAATATACTTGTACGATAACTTGAGAAGAAAACTGAAAACGTTGTTTACATAAAATGTCGCGGGCTATTTTAGTTTCAATACTTTGATTTCATTAATAACTTAATAGGGTAATTGCATTTTTTCTTGATGAGAAAAAAAACAAAAGGGTATCTCTTTCGTGCTCACGAGAGTGCCCGTACATTACGTTATATATGACTGAGGGAGGGTACATAACAGTTGGTGTCGAAGTGACGCGAAACTACAGCCGAAGCAGTCATACTCGAGAGGACCACGCGGGCGGCAGGTCACCGTGAGCGCAGCGCACATGAGTTATCGCGCCCGTTGCTTTTAATACAGGCGTACGAGATAATTTCCCGCGCAAACGACCCCCGTGGCGGCCCTCGACGCGAATTCGGAACGGCAACAACACCAGTCAGTTTCCAGTAAGGCGTAATAATCAATCGGCGCGCGGAGTTGCATATCGGAGTCGGTTTTAGTTCGACGTCGACGTGTGGCGGGCGCGGGGCATTGTGGGCAGCGGTGATTCAATTAGGGCGGCACGGCGCACCGCCTCTGGGGCGCCGCACCTGCATCTAGACTCGGATAACTGGCCCAGCGCATCAGACGCGGCCGCGATGCCGAGCCGTGACGCGCTCCCGAGCCGCGCTCTCTGATCGCCCGCCCGTCAGTGTTCACGTGTCTGCAATGGATCCGGTGGGCCCCCAGAACGATGCCGCCTACGTGGTGCCCTGGTGCGGGGATCTGAGGAGGTGTCACTGTGTTCCCGTAGCCGTGGCCCAACCGCAGCGCCGCTGCTACGGCTGCGAGCTCAGCGTCGCGATGAACCACTGCCCGGAGTGCCAAGACATGATCAGAGGTGAGTGGGATCCCGGTCGGCTCTCCCGTTAGCGCCTCCGAAAAGATTTCGGCAATTCTTCGCTGCGCCAGTTTTAATTTTAGTTTTAATTTTTTTTTTCGTTCATCGGTCGTCGCATTAGTTTAATAGTTAAAGTAACGTCGCGTTTTCGGTTTTCATAATCGTCATAGTTAAAATAGTACGCATTTTCTATTTAAGAGCGGAATAATTATATTTCGTTAATAACAAATTGTTAAATCGAGATTACTGTTTTTTTTTTAAATAAAATACTAGATGCTAATGCGTTACTAAGTGAATAATTTTAATACATACATTAACAATTGGAATGAAATAAATATTTATCTAAAACACAAGCGAATAATTTTTAAATAACTGTTGCTAGCAAGCAGTTTTTAAGAAACACATAATTAACATTAATATTTTAACTTTATTATTTTATTATATAATGCGACTTTTTACTTGTTTAAGCGTTTTTTTTTTTTAAATTAGTTGTTCGTCAATGGTAATTTTAATATACATTCTATTTACATTAATATTTTTTAAGACAATTCTCTATAATACGTGTGTTAAAATTGTAAAATGTACATTTTTTGTTTCAAATGCTCCTTATATGATTCCGGGTTAATTTAACATTATTAATTTTAGTATAAAAAATTGTTTTGTCGAGTTAAGTTACAAGAAAGAAATAATACCATTTTAAACTGGCATACTGTTACATTTCCATTCGGTGGCTAATTGCTATCGAACTGACTAGAGACATTTGACATTTTAGAGGGTTTTGCAAGGTTACTTTGGAAATGAACCGACTAGTGACACCGACGAATACATTGACTACTTTATTTTTTATTACAAAATCCACATATTATGGATAAACTCATCAAACGTTATTTCCAAATATAGAACGGGAACTAGCTACTACTAGCTGTGCCCGCGACTTCGTTCGCGTGAAATTTAAAATAAAAAAAAATCTATTTAAAAATAAAAGTTATTCCTTATTACATCAGGTATCTGTCAGTGAAAGTCCCGTCCAAATAGGTCCAGCCGTTTCAGAGATTAGCCGAAACAAACAGACAGGCAGACAGACAAAAATTGTAGAAATGTTATTTTGCTATATGTACCGTACCGTGTATACATCCATATGCATTTGGTTCGGTTGTTTTTATGTTGTGACACGGCTAGACCTAAAGTTGCATTTTCACATATTTTTCGTAGCGTGGGTTAAATTATGAATATATACTTATTATATATATTTGGCGTCGCTCTTGATCAATAAAACATTTTCGGTGAATTCTTAAGGCTCGGGAAATTCGTTTTAGTATTACCACTTAGAAGAATTTAGAAGCTCATTAAAATCAGATTGTGACAAATGATGAATTATATTACATCGACTTATATTTTCAAAGCGTTGATAGTCTTGATTAGACCACCAATATCGTGCACCGACGAGATATCCATTATTCGTAAATGGTGTTGGCAAAATCGCGGTCTCACGTAGTATCTTGTGTTCGGCGGAGGGCTCACCACCTGTTGGGGCTAATACCGCCTGCGATGCGTAGACAACGCTACGGAGACGTAGACGCTAAGACGTGGAAGCCACTTCTTGCGCATTTTAAAGAGCAATAATAAAAAATTATCCATCCATTTGCAAATGTTCAATATAGATAAAAATTTTGCGTATCTATTTACGACGCGCCATCCTCGTTCATTTACAAGAATCAATGTCTCTTTAAGATTTAACAACCCATATTCTACAAGGAGAAGAATAATATTAGTAATTCGTAAAATTTACTTCCTTTTAGCTACTCTAAAATTTTATAATGTAATAATACGAAAAAGCGTAATTAACATGAGCTTTAGATTTCATTTAAAACTACTTTTGAAATATTTTACATCAGGGTAAAGGGAATCAGTTCAGTAGTTTCTCATCACACACAAAGAGACTTTGAAACGTGCAAAGTTTTCAATTATAATTAATGGGGATACGCGTACAAAGTATAAAGAAGTAATACGAGCGAAGTACCTAATCTTTAATAAGCTTCATATTCATTTTATTCTCTTTCAATAGTTAAGATTTATCTCTCTGACGACTCATTGGCAGATTTTTTTTAAACATTTTATTTAGCAAAACATATTCAGTCGCTTCGGCTGCCAAAACTGTTGTTCGACCGCTTTGTGTCTCATTGATAAATTGACACTGCGAACGCGAGTTAAATTTTTTCTTTATTCGATTTAAAGGTTATTCTTCTCTTAATAAGTTGGCGGCGGGATGTCTGAGGTTTGAATCCTCGTGAACTAATGCGTAGTTCTTTTTATACATTGCTGCGGTCCACTGTACCCCGCTGAGCTGGTAACGTTACTGGTTACATCTGTAAACTACGTTTTAGGGACAAAAGAGTTGTTTTTCTATATTTTCCTAACCATCCCAAGTCATATGCACCTTTTCTCCTATGCCCAACAAAACGGTGGCTTCAGTGTAGATACGCATAGTATGGTAGGACCACGTATACTAATCGATGACCAATATGAAATTGTTGCCTTAGACGGTACCTAAAATTATTTGGAATATTGGGCATTTTTTTATGTGAAAAGTTGCCAAATGAGCACACGGTTCACCTGATGTTAAATGAATACCGCCGGCCCAGGGCATCTGCTCATTACACCCGAGGGTCTGCAGACGCGTTGACAACCTTTTGAAAATTGGGCTCCGGCTACCTTACTCACCAGACGAAACGCGAAAGTATTATACTTCCACTTGACGCCGGTTTACTGTGAGGTCGTGGTACTTACCCGGACGAGCCTGCCCATTCGTACAACAGCCGAGGCTGCTGCGTGGCCCTACCACCGTTAGGCTTCTTAGTAGTGATATTTATTATATTATATATATATATATATATATATATATATATATATATATATATATATATATATATTAGGTATTAGATATCATTGAAAGTCAGAACATGGCTGCCACCATTTTTTTTTGCATATCCGCTTGCGGTGGTTATCACTTACTGTAATGTGATCAGTGTGATAAAATTAAATATTTTTTTCCTCATAAAAAAGAGTATGCCATCTATTACCATACTCATTACGAGAATCTTGTGCATTTATATTGATTCATACGGCCCCCTTATTTCTTACAACACTACACACTCTCCTAGTGATACATCACATACGATTGAAGATATTACTCTCCTGCGAGCATCAGGTTCACAAAGTTCATACATTGTACGCTAGATACAGCGTGCTCGTGGGCCGTTTGTACTTTTCGAATCAAATCAAATCATTTTATCAATTCATCGAAATAAGAAATATAAATTTCATCTATCGATAGGCATTTATTAAATGTACCACCGTTTCGCAATGAGGTTCCTCTAACGGAGAAGGAACAGGCGAAAGAAACTCCGTAGAGTATACTCTCTCTTATAACCTAGGCCACCGTTGCGATTCAGGACCTAGTCCCGCACCGCGCCCTCGACGGCTCATCATTGATTACGGATTTCCTTCTCAATTGTCTCTTGATTAAACGTAAAACCTTCTAGTTAGTTTTATTAAAATATAAATCTAAATTTAAATATCAAATGAAATACTGAAAACAACACTTACGGCCGGTTTCTGAAACACTAATCATCGTAGATGTCAACTAATCAGCTGTCAAATGGATTTCAAATTACAATTTAGGTATCAAAAGGATGGTTAAATTCTCTGAATTGACCAGAATGATCTTCTTTATGATCAGAATAATCAATTCAGAGTTTAAACATCCTTTTGGCAACTAAAATGAAATTTGAAATTCATATGACAGCTGATTAGTTGACATCTACGATGATCAGTGTTTCAGAAACCGGGCGTTAGTAACATATATAAAGTCAACAGATATGTATAGTTTGTCTAGATTTAATGAAGTCCGCCGTTTCACAAATAATCCATCGACAGTTGTTTGTAGTTTATTCGACGTTAGTGCAGCGCATACAAATATTCCATAACATTTTTTTAAATCTAAACTCTTTTAGGTATTGCTATGTGATATCATCTTTTTACATTATTTAATTTCCGTTTATTTAAACTATTTAACGCCCGTTATTCAATATGATTTAACCGAAATGAACTTAACGGGGAATTTAAATAATTTCATTTGCTTAATCAAACTCGGATGGTACGGGCGGGTGGATTAACGTATATCTTTGTTTACCAACTATCGTTCGGTATGTCGGCTTGCCTTTAATTGTTAGGTTACTATTTATTATTAACAGGTTTAAGAAATTTATTAAAATAAAACATTTTAACAAGGTTTGCTATAACATAAGCTATTTCTAAAAAGAAATATGCCTACTATTAATGTAATATTCGAATGTATTGAGGATAAAAAATGACAAAAAAGAATCTGCGGAGTTTCTTTCGCCAGTTTCTTCTCTTTGCGGAATAAAACTCATTGCGAAACGGTGGTAGATTCAAAAACAAATGACTATAAGTAGATGAAATGTATTTTTTTTATGTAGATGAATAAATTATTTGATATGATTTGATTAGATCCACGAAGAAGCGTCGGCCGTTATATTTTCCGAGTTAAATTTATGATTATTTTAACGATTGATTTTAGGCATTTAATCATTAGATTATTAAATCAGAGATAGTCTAGTAAACATCAGAACGTAACGCGATTTACTCTGGTGTAATTGCTGAGCGATAAGACCGGCACCGCGGTTGTGTGATAGAAATTCGTCTAGGGTGGTGTGTGTGTGAGCTATAGGCTACTCTTGTACAATTACATTTAGCATTTGTGGAAATGTTACGATGTACATTTATTTTAATGAACAATAGAATACTTTAGGCAATTGCGATGCGATATTTGAAAACCTTTCTCCAGTGTACGTTCGAGTGCTGAGATGAACCTACGCGAACTATTGTAAAACTTCCATGTCTCAATGTTGCGAATGTTAAATATTCATATGTGAAAGGCCCATATTTTTGCACTTATTGTATCATAAGGTAACTAACAACAAGGCGGCATCATATCGATTTTTTATTATGTCAGTTTTCGTCCTATTCGTTTAGGATATTATTAAAAAAATGCTTAACTTTAAAAGCCTATTTTAGTTACCGATAAAACATATTCATTCGTGAAAAACATTCACAAATAGGTTCGGATAATGACGATGCAATGATATGAATTTAAAAACCCATCGGTAAACATACGAGTAATTACCTCCACAGGCAAATGCGTAAATATTTTTTCATTAATACAGGCGTTGCGAATGTTTGGAACGAGTCTGAGTATCAGAAATTTAATAACATGATTCAAGTAATACTCAGAATTGTAGACGCTTTAATTAATTATCTTTATTGGACAAAGGTTTCTTACAAACGTGACCGTGCTTTAAGTATCAAGTACAATGTTGTTGAACTCCTACGTCCAGAGGGCGAATGAAGGGATTATTGGGAGAGTAACTGTTACCCTGGACCCAGGTCGGACCAGGCATTGGCTGTTCAACAAGCAAGGTCGTCCAACGAACAGCAGAAGATCGCCAAATGAAAGCATTTCAATCTCTCTCAAACTCATGTCATTCGCTTCATGATCTGGGTGTTTGATTCGCAAGGAAGGTTCAACCCGGCAGGCGATCGGTCGTAAATAGCCGAACCCGCTTTCATACTTCGTGCTGACCCCACCTTTTTTTTGGTACCGGGGAGGGGGGGGGATCTTTAACAGATACCCTGTCATGATATCACAGGGTTATGTGGGGTCCTGGTGGAAGCGCAGGAGGATGATGATGAGTGTGGTATCTTGAGTCCTCTTCAAGTTTAGGTCCATTATCAATTTCGACCATTACTTAGCATTAAGCTATGTCTTATATATCTATTCCTAAGGGGCTGTCCATTAATCACGTGAGTGTCGAAACGGGGGGCGGAGGTTTGGCAAAAATCACGAAATATCACAAGGGGAGGGGGGGGGGGGGGGGGGGGGTTATTAAGATATCACGCGTATTTATTTTTTCGTAAAACGCGCAAATCCGAAAAGCAGTGAGTAGTGTGACCTTGATGCGCGGTAACATTTTTATCATAGTCCTAAATTTCGAATAAAATTAGATTATAATCGAAACCTGTACTTAAAGATAATATTCTAAAAACTTAAAGATTCTTGGTAGGCAATAACAAATAGTGATTTTGGGTGTGGGGTAAGGGGTTATCCTTAACCTCACCACGTATCACCAAGGGGTAGAGGGAGGGGGGATACGGCCCCTTACTTTATAACTTAGTAATAGATAGTTAAGGCATCGCTAATAAAATAGATTATAGTAATAATAATACCGAATGCTGAACGCTTGCGATTCTCGATATATATAGGCGAACTACAAGTGACGTCCGTTGTACATATCTGTTCATGTGCTATTGTTATTGATGAGCGAGCGTTAGCGATTACCGGCTCAAAGCCCGCTCAAGGATATCGCTTTCCTCATTAATGGTAACAGATTCGCAGAAACGGTCCGCAGCCACCCCATCCGGAAATGGACACGGATGCAGAACTACGAATGCCTAACTACTAATCCACACACTAGCAATTCGACGTAACAACTGCTATATACAGCGTATTACAACCGCGACAATAAATGAACACGCGTCTACCGCTACTGGCCAATAAATCGTAAGAAAATATAAACGATAACAAAATCCATAACAAAAAAAAATATTTGGAAACGAACTAATTAAATAAAAAAGAAACAACATTTGCAACATCCTATACAATTCTACAACTGACTGATTCATAAATTTAGAGACTTTTTCATTCGTTGCCACAGCGTCGCATTAAAAATCTCCTTCTAACAGTATGTTTTATCTCTTTTAAATTCATTCAACCCATTCATATACTTTGTGACCTTTACATTACAGTTTATACGTAAGGGTGTTCTAAAATTGTTTTGGAAAATTTTATAACTCGGTAAATATTGATGTTTATATAATGTACATGTTTAATACAATTTTAAAAAGTTATCCTTTATATGTGTCTCCATTTTTTGTCGCAGTTGTAACGACACGCTGTATATGCGCGTGAAAGGTTTAAAAATATACTGGAGACATTTTTATCTGCAAATAATTATGACATTTTAATCTGCACAATTGTAAGGATTGCTATGCTCACGGAGGATTGTTGCTTAGTATACTATTTTATTTTATTTTTTTACTATTATACAGGGAGATTTTTTGAGAAGTGCCCAAATTTACCAGGAGGTTCAAACTGGTTAACTCTATAATCGTTTATTGAAATAAAAAACAAAGTTTCTTTTTTCCAAAAAAATGCCATTGTATTCCCTAAAAAACAGAACGTGTTGACAATGCGGTAGTCATTCATAAATACCTAAATTTTACTGTGCACGAACCTGTGTGCGTGTTGGTTATGAATGATCGCGCGTAAAATAAATGAGTTGCGTATAAATCACGCACTTTTTGAGCTAAGTTCAAATGAATGTAATAAATTACTTACGAGTGATTTTAAATATTTATCGTTTTTCATATAACACTATTTATTTCTAGAATTTAATAAATGGATACCCTTATATAGTATAGTATAGTAGATTTCAATTGTAGGCATGTATTCATGACTTCGATCAAGTGAAGACTCCCATATTGATACATGTATTCACATTATTCTCAACCTACACGTAACCAATTTTTAGTAAATCTCTTCAGACCGACATCAACTATCTCTATATAAATACAACGTAAGTACTGTCTACTTTTTGAAATTGTACACAATGGCGCTGGCATATTTTTTGCAAAAATAGTGGGCTCTATGAACTGATCATTCCGAACATTGAGAAGATAATTCTGATCAATTCGGCGAGTTTAACCATCTTTTTGGCAACTAATATGAAATTTGAAAAGCCATTTGACAGCTGATTAGTTGACATCTACTATCATCAGTGTTTCAGAAACCGGGCGTTAGTGTCGTACCTGATTGTGGGCGTCCTTTTGTAAGACGTGGCACGCCGGATTACGAACGTCCTTGCACATTGATGTGTTTGTATGCTACGAAATTTTCGATTCGAATTTCCATTAAGTCCAGTGCACCACCGGCTGTGAATCGAGCCTAAATCAACTCGCCCCAAGCGACGTGAATGCCCCTGTTGGTATTACGGCACGCAAACCGTTTTAATTATCTTAAACTCTGACGCGTCTGGGATGCATATATCGGAAAATAATCGAAGCATGCGAAACGCAAAGCTATTGATAGAACACGTCTGCGTCATAGCACCTTCGCCTACGCGTCTCGGGTTCGATTCTCGGTAGCTGCAAATTGTGTCTATTCCATTTTCTCCTTAAAGGGATTTATTGGAACCGAAAATAAAATAATTGATTTGACATGCGCTCAGTCATTGCAAATTTATTTTCGTGATAGATTATAATTTATAAAGTCCGTCATAGCTCTAAGTTTGGACGCTCGCTTTTAATTCAATGTACCTCATATGTTATGTTGTGTTCAATGGCACTAAAAAAATTGTTGACTACTATATTAATTCCTGACTTATCTATTACGTGCTCAGCGGTGAAAGAAACACCATGGGCAAACGTGTTAATTTTCGAAATATTCCGAAGACGTTATTATATCTTCGAAAAAAAATTAATTAGGTCGTTGAATCCGCCGTGGAGTCGCGTAGTGATCTATGCCCTAATGCCATCTGTAAAGAGCAAGCAATGGCACATACATTTTTATAGGCTGTTACTCAAAATGTAAAACGGGACCCTATTACTAAGACTCCGCTGTCTGTCTGTCTGTCAGGCTGTATCTCATGAACCATCATAGTTAGACAGTTGAAATTTTCACAGATGATGTACTTCTGTTGCCGCTATATTAACAAATACTAAAAAATAAATTAAAAATATTTAGATGGGGTTCCCATACAACACACATGATTTTTTTGCCGTGTTTATAGATAATGTTACATAAAACTTCGTTCGCGAATCCGACTCGCACTAAGGCGATTTTATGTAGATTATTTTTGTTTCGTTTCCTTCTTTTCGTCGTTATTTCTTATAACTACGTAAATGGCAAATAACACTGGAAGTCAAACTCTAACGGAATGAAGTTACTCGTAAAATGACTATCGCGTTCAAGGCTGCTTGTTTAATCATTTCGAAATGTAATATTAGAAAATATTATATCACTACACACGCTGTCTCTCTGACCCTATGTATGCTTACTTTAAACCACACAACGGATCTTGATGCAGTGTTTTTTACTAGATAGATTGTGATTCAAGAGGAACGTTTACATGAATAATACATTGCACCCGCGCGGAGCCGGGGCGCGTCGCTAGTTACATTATATGATGACTGCGCGGGACAGTTGCCAAGGTGTTGGTTCGACGCCGCGGGTCGCGGCTTCGATTACCACACGGGACAACTATTTGTGTGACCCACAAATAATTGTTTGTAGTTACTGGGTGTTTGTCCGCGTGAAATTGACTTGAAAATTGAAACACAAGATAATGTTATGCTACGGCAATTTTTTTTTTTAAAATTGTATAACCATTCGGTATCTGATCACGGTACCCTGAGAAAATTTCGCACGGGTCAACCAGTATTTTTTTTTGTGAAAAATTGCCAAGCGAGCAGACGGTTCACCTGATGTTAAGCGAATACCGCCGCCCATGGACATCTGCCACACCCGAGGATTCCAGATGCGTTGTCAACCTTTAAAAACTTTGGCTCCGGCCACCTCACTCACCGGACGCAGCGCGAAAGTATTCAATACGTATCATTCGTCAAACGGCAAACGCGTAGCAAAAGAAACATTAAACTGTTTGCGTAGAAACTAGCCAAAATATAGACGGATGCAAAACAACCCTAGCAGCTACAGTGAACGTTGACCATGCTTCTTTAAATTTAATTTGGATATAATTATGTTTTGAAAATCTACATGTAATTAAGAAATTAAAATATGTGTATACACAACTGAAACATTTTTAATTTTACATAATGTTAACAATGATCTAAGTTCCAATTCATAGCTATAGTGATTTATGAAGAAGGTTTATATGTATAATACATTGCACCCGTGCGAAGCCGGGGCGGGTCGCTAGTACTTAAATATGGTAGGATTATACTCTGAATATGAAATTTATAACAGAGAACCATTTCTATTTAAAAATATTACTTTTGTAACCATAATTTACAAACCTTTAAAAGAAGCCCACGTTATTAAGAAAATTTTCTTAAGAAAGTTTTCTTATTTGAAAGGTAAGAAAATATTTTTTTAGTTAAGAAAGTTCTGCCCTGCTTCTCAGTGTTCTGTTTTCCTGTAGTTTAAACAGGTACACGTCACAACTGTATCCTTAATTTAAACCTGTTCTGCGTGCATTTAGTTATAAGACTTAACAAATAAATAAAATGAATAAATAAACTGATATGTTAATTGAGAAAGGTTATTCTTGTTTCGTTGCTACCGTGGCCACGACCCCGACCTCGCAGAAGACCTAAGTCAAAACTTATCCCATTATACGTTTCTTTTAGTGTGGCAACACGGTCAACACAGATAGACGGTTGCCACGGTCAATAAAGTCGACCTCGCAAATTTTCCAGCTTTGTAAAAAGGAGGAATAAAACTTGTCATAAAAGCAGCGCTGTCGCCGCCCTTTGAAAGGTGCTTCTCAAAATACGACGCCAGTGACGATTGCATAAGCCGTTGTGAATAGCCGTCGTATCTCCTTACAGGGAAAATCGCCGCGGAGCCTTTTCAGCTGTTTCCGTCACAATGTAATATTTATTTCCATTATTTCCCTTCATCGCAAACGTCTTAAGAAACAGTATGGCATCCTGCAGATGTTTTTTTTATACGAATGTATGAATTCAGTGTTCAAATTTTAGACAGTTTAATGGAAACTGAGATAACTTTGTAACCTGACGCTCGCCTACTAAATAGCTGTTCCCATTTAGCGCAAGTTTTAACCTATGTATCATGGAAACGGTGAAGTTAGTTTGATGAAGTCTAGGTCCCGTTTCACCACTAGCTTGGCGGTGAGGGGAAATTCATATCTGAAAATATAAAATGAAACTATTTTACGGATTTTATCTCGTTAAAATCCGCAAAAAAAGTTTCATTTAATCTGTATACATTATTTAATATGACTCTTATAATTGATTTTTTAATATTGTATTTAATATGTCACACAATGTATGTCAAAAAATGGAAAAAAGTGGTACGCTGAGTTTCTTTCGCCGGTTCTTCTCAGTTTATTGGCTTTCTTTTACAAACCGATAGTAGTATTTTGAGTATACTAAGTGAGTGTAATGTTTCTATGTCGAATAAAGATATTTGAATTTGATATAATATTCGCGTAAAAACGAAAGATGTAAATCAATATATCTGAGTTACCTAATGTTGAAATAATGAATGAATGAATGAATATTCTTTCAATTATGTAACTGCTTGTACAATGGGCTGCCTTATTACTTAAAGGAATTTCTTCCAGGCAACCTTTGGATGGACATAATACGAAATGAGTATTTGAGGGGTGTTAAAAATAATTTTTTGAACATCGTAAAATCTTCGCGTACGCTAATGACTTCTTTCTCACATTACGATTGTAGCATCCTTCTGAATGATACATTCAGATATCTGCAACGTAGTTCGAGAGGTTTCGAAGGTGTATTCCGAGATGCGCTGTCATGGCACCGGCCGCGGATTAGACGGCCCACCCGCTCCTAACCATATCCGAAGACGGACGCGATCCCATTTTGCCAGCATAATGCTGCTGAGATGGAAATCGATCGGTAGCCACCGCTCCTGATTGATGCTATTGTGCGACAACGGCGTCGCAAATTGGTGGCGTACGGCGTGCTCTAATCTGCCGTGGGCATTAGTCGACCTCACCGAATATGACGTATTTGGCCATTGTGCCTTCGTCCGCGAGTGTGAACTATCCCGCGCCGCACCAAAGCTGAGCGATACTAAAACACACACACGTTTCCGTGGATAAGACCAGCGATCGAAAATACCCGCGAACTTAATTCACCTTGAACTCTTTTGTTTTTTTACATATACTATCTAAGCATAAGTTTACTTCTATTCCCTTCATGAGAACATCGTCGTAGGAGTATAAAATCATATATCCCGAATCATGTTCTACGGATAGGATGTGCTGTTGTTCAGCTTTAATATTAGTGTTAGAGTAAGTCAATGTTACATAGCATAGTTTATGCGGAGGCAAAATTGTTTTATTTTTCTCTTTACTGTTTCGCAAATATGTACGTAGGCACTGAAACCACGTAATAGTTTTAAAATATGTATACTGATAAAACACTTTGTCTTTTTAATATAAATAAGGGATGATGACTCCGTGGCGCAGTTGTTACGCGTCGGGGGTATTTCCACTCGAGACAACTATTTGTGTGACCCACAGATAGTTGTTTCGCATACGGGTGTTTGCCCGCGTGAAATTAATGTTTGTGAAAAGTCCTTACAACACAGGACAATGATATCCTACAGTAAGGGCAATGTTTTTTAAAAAAAAATGATATTTATAAAATTAAAAAAAAAAAAAAACAGAATTCTTAGTATTTGTTCGCGAAGTCAGGAGTCAAACGGGGAACGGGCCCCGGCTGCCTCACTCCACGCCGGTCTTTTGTGAGTTCGTTGTACCTTCCCGGGCGGACCTGCCCATCCGCGCATCAGCCTATCGCGAGGTCCTACCACACTTGAAGTCCAATCATTAAAGTTGTGACAGCTCCGTGGCCGGGCGCTCAACTTTAATTCAATAAACCCGAGCAACCTGAGTTCGATCCCCGGTGCCGACACCAATGAAATTATTAATTTTAAGTTTAGACTTATCGCGTGCTCCGCGGTGAAATAAAACTTCTTGAGGAAGCAAATAAAAGAAATATTTTTATTTATTTATTTGGGCTTACAGCAAAATACGTACAGAACATTATTAATAACTATCCCTGTTTTCAGGGAATGAAAAATATCATTCGAATATGACGGTAATAATAGCTCGGTCGGTAATCGGGCGCCTCCGAAACAGAAGGCCGTGGTTCGTGTCACGATCAATTTACATACTTATTTTTTTTACTTTTTTTTTCGATTCCACATCATTGCTTTCTTTATTTTTTATTTTTTGTACATCTAGATGATTTTGTTCTCTTTTCCCTTTTTTTTAAAGTTCTTTCTTTTGTGAAAAATAACAGTTCATATTTTCTTATTGTTACGTCGGTAAGATCGAAAAATATTATGCATATTTCATTACTCAGTAATTATTAATACTTATTAACAGTATAATTCATTAACAGTATAATTGTATCTAAATGTAATTTCCAAAATGCACGATATACCAAAAAAAGAAAACTCCAGGTACTATACATTAAACTTAAATTAGATTTGATCTTGTAAATAGTAGATCAATAAAGATTTAACATTATATTTCCGTATGAAACTTAAAATTAACAAATGATGAAATAATATAAACAAAAAGAAGCACTATTCTTTGCAATACAATTAATATTAGTTGGGAGTTTAGCATTTTATATTATATATATATATATAGGTTTTTATCTCGAGTTTGAATATAGTATTGAAATATTTTTTTAAGGAACCCAGACTATCGCTGAAGAGATCTATATAACAAAAAATATATTTTTAAAATGTTTGAAGAAGGGACCGCGTGCTGGATTATGCTCTGTCCAGCAGTGGGACATCTAAAGACTACAATAAAGCTTACTTCCAAACTTTTTAATGTCACACATAATCATCCGCCGTTTTAACTCGCTCTAGAGAAGAACCGTTAGCTTTTGCTCGCCTATAGTTAACCAGTAGCCATTAGGGGTACGGATATGATAACGGCGCTGTACATGAATGTGCCGAAGGTAATACGATTAAAACGCCTGCTGCCTTCGCAAAGGGTTCCTTGCCGCATAAACCTCCTCGCTCGTATATATGTACTGGATGTGGCATTCATAGCGCTGCCGAATTGAATCATTATCTTTACGTATATACACTACTATTCAATTCAATTGTTAAGAATTATATCGTGGTTTAAATTAAAAACAAATATGAATGCCAGTTTTATCATACGTGTTACTGTTACTAGGGTTGTGTTGTTGTCGGAAATCCCCGTGTGACTCCTACTTCGCGAAAAATTAATAATTATTCGGTTTTTTTTTTATTTATTTTATAAATATCACTGTTTTTCTTTTTTTTTTTTTTTAAAAAACTTTGCCCTTACTTTAGGATAACATTATGCTGTGTTGTAAGGACTTTTTACAATCATTAATTTCACGCGGACAAACACCCAGATGCGAAACCACTATCTGTGGGTCACACAAATAGTTGCCCCGAATCAAACCCACGACCCCGACGCTGAAGCCAATACCTTAGCCACTGAGCCACGGAGTCATCATATTTCGTGACATGTCTTACGTGATTTAAGTGCCTACATAAATATTTGTGAAGTAGTAAGGAGAAACAAAACAATTTTGCCTCTGCATAAACTATTCTATGTAACATTCGGTTTCTTCTTGTCACATAGATAGCCTTACTCTACACTACTGTTACTACTGTTAAAGCAACGTAACATCATATCCTACCCGTAGAACACGATTCGGGCGTATTTATTGGCAAAACTAGTATAAAATTTTGTTTGTTTTTTGAAAACAATTCACCGTATGGCTTACACCGTTTTTTTTATGTGAAAAGTTGTGAAACGAGCTGGCGGTTCACCTGATGTTAAGTGAATACCGCCGCCCATGGACATCAGCTACACCCGAGTGTTGCAGATGCGTTGACAACCTTTTGAAAATTGAGCTCCGGCCACCTCGCTAACCAGACGAAACGCGAAAGTAATTATACTTCCCCTTGACGCCGGTGTTCTGTGAGGACGTGGTACATACCCGGACGAGCCCGCCCACTCGTGCAACAGCCGTGGCCCTACCACAGATAAAAGTTCCGCTTCAAATTCGTAAAACACGAGGGCATTACACAGATTGTTCAATTAAACAACATTTTACATTACAACGCGCGGCTTGTCTGCTTTGTTTGGCCTCTTCTGTGTGCCTCTTTTAAGTGTACAAACTATGTTTCATTTTCATTCAACAACTTTATTGAAGTTATACCGCTTATATCATTTTGTACGTTGCTCAACTATCGATACCTTTACCTATCGACAGACTACCACTAAGTACATCTATTTAGCCCATCCACGTGCGGTGATTCAAAAGCGCCACTAACTGCTTAACTACTCTGCTGCACAAAAAGCTTAACTGGACGGGATTTATCAACTTGACTTGTAGCAAGTGAGCTTTACATTTTGGGGCTCCCAAAAGCTTTGAACATTAGCAGCTTTAATCCCTATATGAAATACGGGAATACTTACAACTGCTAATGCACTATTAAATATATCAGGAGTGGTTGACCTGATGACCCTATAAGCCGTAAGCTTAGTTTGGTGCACCCGTCTTCTACATTATACAAAGTTACGAAATCAATAGTTACAGCCAACGCATGTAGAATTATTATGTAAGATATATAGTGGTGACAGTTTTACAAACAGTTATAGTTATCTTCTATATTTATATATATTCTAACGAATTCGGCGGCATTTAAAAGCTTCGACTGGTGCACGGATGGGCAGGTCCGTCCGGGAAAGTACCACGAACTCACCGAAGACCGGCGTGAGGTGGAAGTGTTATCCTTCTGTATTTAGTCTGGTCAGCGAGGTGGCCTGGCAAACCCACGGGTGTTGCGAATATCAACGGGTGGCAGTTACCGCTTAACATCCGGTGAACCACCATCTCGTTGGTACCTTCTTATATAAAAAAAGATCCGATTGTTACTACTAACACAGTTTAATATTATCTAAGGTAGGTAATAAAATAATACTTCTTATCCGTTCGTAGGTATTAACTTTAGTTTACTAAAAGTTACTGATCAATATTCCGAGCGGAGCGGATAGTGAAAGAAGCATCTAATTAAACTTTTCAAATCCTGATCTCGTGGCGAATTTAATATCTATGGAATGTCTATTACTCCTAGTAACGTTAGATACATTATGTTCAAAGGCAACGTCAGATTTAGTTAACTGTTAAGAACGGTTTAGATGTCGTATAGCGTCGCAAGTTCTGTCTTTGCTTGGATGGGCCGCCATGTCAAGGTAAATTTACCGCCTCGCTGAAGTCCACTGTAGAATAGAAACATTTCTTTCGCGTTTCTTCGTATAGGTAGTCAAAATCGTGTATAAGGTGAACTGGGCACGTCAAAGACTGTTAAGGCAACTGTTACCTCACTGATACCGTGGGGTTTCCGTTGGCCTATGTACTTGCCAAAATTTTTACTTATTCGTTAAAGAAAATCTCAAATAATAGTATAGTTTTAACTTTTTACTTTGTTCACATTTGCAATTTTCCTAATTAGCAATACAACGTTAACCATTGATGCATATAGTAAATTAAATACCACAAGCACACTAATATTTAAATTAATCCCTTTGGAAAATTTTTGATTTCTGTCAACGGTACACAGCCGTCAATTATTTCACGTTTGCATTACAAATATCTCGAGTGTTGTTTTAATTTCATTGACGATTCGTACTAACGATACTCACTGGAGCGTATAAACCACCTTATTAATTAGTGCTTTTGTATTGCTTGATAAATAAATCAAAGCGCTCGCAGTGAAATGGACGTCAATAATGTTGATAATTTGGACATATCCTCGTAACATTAATTGGCATTACCGCGTTAGTAACGTACAAAGCTTTTGCGGGCTGTTTGTTCTGTTTGAGGGATTAGTTTATTAAAATACGGGAAACTGTACAATATTATAACGGCTACGAGGGATACTATGTATACAGAAATACTGGAACACTTACAGTAGTAACCTTTCTATATTGTATTGTCATCATTTTCTTCCTTAACTTCAACTGAACATGTTAACCTCTAAATAGAATATACTTATTGGTACTTATTAATAGTATTTCTTTTGGCTTTTTCTAATTTTGTTTTTATCACTACATAGTATTAAACAAGTCGTCCCGCTGTCCGTCTGTCCCTGTGTATGCTTAGATCTTTAAAACTACGCAACGGATCTTGATGCAGTTTTTTTAATAGATAGTGTGATTCAAGATCCAGCATTGCACCCCTGCCAAGCCGGGGTGGGTCGCTAGTAATAAATATATTTCTAAAGTATGTTAGTTTCTAACACACACAGATCATTGACCTTTTGCGATCGTAAGGAATATTATTGTAAAAACGTATACTGCATTATACATTTAATTCGCATTTCTAAATTCAATCAGGGAAGCCTTTGGAACCAGGTACCCGCTGCGGAATTTAAAAGAGCCTTTAAAATTGTCTAGGTCGCATAGCTTCACGATTTATAGACAGGAGAGGGTATATATGGGCCTAAACGATCTGAGGGTCGCTAGTAATAAATATAGTACCCGGAGGACCGAGCTTTGCCCGGTTTGTTTTTTTTTTTTGGTAAATCGTGTATTTTGGAAATTACATTTAGATACAAATTACTGAGTAATGAAATATGCATAATATTTTTCGATCTTACCGACGTAATAATAAGAAAATATGAACTGATGTTTTTCACAAAAGAAAGAACTTTAAAAAAAAGAGGAAAAAAATAACAAAATAACAAATCGACCAAAAAATTAAAAATAAAGAA